TCTCTCCCTTTCCCTCCCACCTCATGTCTCTGTTTAATGTTAATCATTTCCTCCTGCTCTTCCTCCCTGCTCTGTTCTTAGTTGCTCTCATTATATCAAAGAAGACATTTGGCATTTGTTTTTTAGGGATTGGCTAGCTTCACTTAGCATAATCTGCTCTAGTGCCATCCATTTCCCTGCAAATTCCATGATTTTGTCATTTTTTAGTGCTGCGTAATACTCTATGGTGTATAAATGCCACATTTTTTTATCCATTCATCTATTGAAGGGCATCTGGGTTGGTTCCACAGTCTAGCTATTGTGAATTGTGCTGCTATGAACATCGATGTGGCAGTATCCCTATAGTATGCTCTTTTAAGGTCTTCAGGGAATAGTCCGAGAAGGGCAATAGCTGGGTCAAATGGTGGTTCCATTCCCAGCTTTCCCAGGAATCTCCATACTGCTTTCCAAATTGCTGCCTCGGTTTTGATGCCATCAGTCCAGCTGAAATGGCACAGCTGGCTCAGCCAGGATGGGATGTGCGCTCCCAGCTGTGTGGAGAGAGTGACTCCCTCCCCAGCACAGCGGTTCTGCCGCTGGACTCTGGGTTCCTGGTCTTGCCCTCGGAGACCCCTGAGCTCTTCCCCAACATGGACCAGACTCTGTTTCACTGCTGTCCCTTCCTCTCCCCCAGAGCTGCCTCCAGATTTTGGATGTCATTTGTGTTTTTGAAAAGGAGCCTGTCTCTCTGGGGCTCTGGCTTGCACACAGATAGTGTTTTCTGGTCAAGTAACGAGGAGTAAAGTCAATCTGTAAATATCGGTCAGTGATAGGTGGAGCTATCAAACGTATAGGTGTATCAGTCAGCTGTGCAGCGTTCAAGCTGTGCCCAAACTTTGTGAATTAATACAACTATTTATATAGCTCACAGTTCTTGAGGGACCCTGTATTCATCCATTTTTCATCATTATAAGGAAATGCTTAAAGCAAGCTAACTTTATAAAGAGTTTATGTAGCTTGAAGTTTTGGAGGCTAAAAATCAGGCAGCCTCATTGATTTGGCCTCTGGTCAGGTGGCTCTTTGGCAAAAGCACATGGAGGAGTGAGTGTGAAGGGAGAAGTCGCGTCCTTACATAGGAAGCCAGAGAGCTCTTCTGAGGTTGGGTGCACTCACAACATCTTATTTTATAAGAGGTCAGGGTCCCACGAGGGTAACCTTGTTGCCTTCTAAGGGCGGCTCCCACAATGACCTATGGACCTCCCCGGGCCTCCCTCCTAAAGGTCCCAAAACTTGACCATTGCCATTTGGGACCAGGCCTCCAACACATGAACCCCTGGAGGACAGAACACGTCAAAACCTCCTTCCTTCCAAATCTTCTTTGGAAAACTCAGAATCATCTTGTGCACTGGTGTCCAGTACACGAGTCCCCTGCAGTGCCCCTAGTGGCCGTCTTCCCTCAGCTGGTTTATTAGCAGTGATTGGGTGCGCTCACCTCCTTGCTGAAGGAGATCAGTGGAGAAGAGTACAGGCTCTGGGTTCTGGTCCCAGCTCTGCCCGTCCCTCACCATAGTACCTGAACCAATCACTTCAGCTCTCCCAGCCTCAGTTTCCTCATCTGTAAAATGGAGGGGCTAATGTCCACACTATGGAGCTACTGCAAAGTGAACAAGCGGAGCACATTGATTGTGCGCTCACACGGTGCTGGGCTTTGTTCTAAGCACGTTACTCACATGGTAATAATCACCCTGGGAAAGAACACTAAGAAGATTGCAGTTGGGAAGAGGCAGAGGCGGGATTCAAACCAGCAACCTGGCTTCAGAGCCCATGTGCTGAGCCACACTGCTGCTATTCTGCCCCCAGATGAAGGAAGCAAAGGGCCCAGCCCAGAGCTGACCACGAAACCATCCAGCAGGGCAAGCGGAGAGAGGCAGGAAAGGGGAGTTTGACCTCTGACAACAGAGAAATCGGCACAAAGAGAACAGTTTTGAGCTCTTTTAGTTTGGGCAAACTTCAATTTTGCATTTTAGATTTTAGGGTTTTTTATTGAGTTACATAAGGGAGAGGCAGGTTTCCATGTGGCTTTGTCAGGCTTGTGGCCTCTAAAGGTCCTCTCTAGGCCTGCATCACCCAGCACAGCCAGATCCTCTGTGGGTCCATCAAACATTATGGAACTTCCCCTTCTTGCTGCAAACCCTGCATCTTGCTCCCACAGTTCCCAGACCCTTCCCTTTCTTTGCCCTGGAAGAGTCTGGCAAATCCTCCCCCAAGGTAGTGGTCAGTGATCACAGGTCCCAGCAATGCCACAGTTTCCCTGTGGTTCCAGCATGGTATAGAACACCTTAAATGTAACATGGCAGGGGACTGGTTAAACCTCCAGGGACCGAGGCTGGAAGGGGAGGTACCAGCCAGGCTGGGTCCTGAGCCACTGGAGGAGCCTGACTCCATCCAACCTTACCTGATGGGGTCCAATCCCAGGCTCAGGAAGCCACCTTCTTTGCCAGCCATCCCAGGTCATTCTAAGACAGCCCTCCCGCGCTCCCTAAGCTCTAAGCAGTCTTCACCACCCCAAATCTACCTCCTTTGATCCTCACGCCTGCACTTCCTGGGAAGAAGGCCATGAACAGGGATTAGAGTCTCTTTGGCATAAGGGGAAACCAAGGTACAGAGAGGGAGGGAGGCCGGGGACACAAGCCAAGCCAGAGGAGGTGCTTGGGAGAGAACCAGGGCTCCTGAGGACCCGATCATTGAGCCTGAGCCTGCCGGTGGGTGAGGGACCCTATCCTGCTACCCACTTGCTGAGGCCACCCACTGAGAAAGCAGCTTAATGACAGGACTTGTTCCCAAGCAAGCTAGAGAACCATGTCCCTCCGCAGGCTGGTGTGACTTGGGGCAGGTCTCCTCTCCTCTGAGCCTCTGTGGAGATGGCATGGAGGTCCCCTGTGACTGAGACATGCTGGGACTGTGTAGCTGGGGCCTAAGATGATTCCACCTTTTTGGGGTTTGGGGATCCTCCATCAAAATGCAAAAGGGTGTGTGACAGGTATGGTGACTGTGCTGTGACCTGCTGACAATAAGGACGCCTGTCTCCCAGCTGCTTTCGACAGCTGGGTTATACGTAATGTCAACGCTGAATGTAACCCTCACTGTAACCCAGGGAGGTGGGTGGTGTTGTTACCCCCATTCTATAGATGAGAAAACTGAGACTCTGAGAAGTGGAGGAAGTGAGCCAGGACTGGGATCCAAGGGTCTTCCTCCTCTAAGGGCAGGCTCTTGCTCCTGGATGTCTGCTTTAGAAACAGACTCCACTGTGCAAGGTGTATAGCCCCTGAGTTGCTCCTCCAGTACTGAAGCCCCTCATCGCCCCTCAAGAAGCATTACGGGAACTTTCTGAGCACGTGAGGACCTAGACCAGCAGGACCCAGCTTCCCCCGCCTCTCCTTCACCAGTCCCTCATCCTGGCCCACAAGCAGACACTGCAGCCGAGCCACGGAGCCTGTGAGCAGACACAAGTTTATTACTGCACAGCCTGTAGCACCTGAGCCCCCACCCCCACACCGGTTCCAACCAGGCCCCACGGCTCTGGCAGCCACAGGCTCGTCCCCAGCACAGGACCAGACCCAAAAACCCAGAGCAATGATCTTAGAGTTGAGGCCCGGAGCCTGTCAGTCCTGAGGAGCCTTACCCCACCCCCTCATTCCCTAGGAGTCCAGAAAAGCCCAGACACAGATGCAGAGTGGTGCCCACAGCTGGCTGGGATGGGAGCGTCTGCAGGCTCCTCTCTGCAGAAGCACAGCTCAGGATTCCAGCCACGCTAGAGGCTCTGGCAGCTGGAAACGGGCAAGTGCAAAGCTAGAGGGGAAGGTTCCCAAGGATGGAGAAGGGGGAAGGGAAAGTTGTTCCAAATGACCAAGTCCTGACCTGCCCTGGGAGGGAGCCTGGCACCACACAGAGGCTCCAAGGTCCAGAGAAACAGAATAGCAGCAGCACCTCCAGCTCAGCTCGGATGCTGTGGCCACATCCTTCCCCAGGAAGGGCTTGGGTGGGCCTGGGAACTCTTTCCCTTCTTCCTGGAGACAGGGAACCACAGCCCTTAGCCCCCAGGCCACCCCCCAGCAAGCCTGAGGGCCCAGACACAGTGTGGTGAGGACATCTTTAAGTGAGGTGCATGTGAGTGTCGTTTGCCAAGCACATGGAAGGGGCTTTCTTGTGCAGACTGCACCAGGCTGATCTCTCAGCACCCACCTGAGAGTCTGCCCAGGGAAATCTGCCTCCCTTTCATGTCATGCCTCCCTAAGCCCACAGTGGCCCTGGTGGGGGAAGGGGACAAGCCGATTCATAGGGCACCATACGAGCTGTAGCTCACGGGCCCGAGAACTTCTGTACAGTGACCCCAAGGAAATCAGCAACTCTAAATGCAACTCCAGCCTCAGACACACCCACAAACAGGGACCACCACAACTGCACCTTACCCTTCCTCCCACCCCGCCCCGCCTCTGGGGTCAGTGGCTTCCTAGGCAAAGGCTCCCATTCCCCAGGTCTCCCCCTGTTCTACTGGGCCAGGAGGAGGCCAAGTGGATTGGTGGGAGAAGGCGGAGCACTGCATGCTGGGATAGTCAGCTGAACTTGTCCATTTCCTCCACCATCATCCAGAACATCTGTAAGTCAGGGCCAGCTGTGTGCTGGGTACAACAACATGGTCCAGGGGATTTCAGCACCCCCTCAGCTTCCCAGGCAACCTTGGGCCACCAGCCAGGGGACTAAGTTAAAATGGGAGAGGGGTAGGAGCAAGAGGGAGAACATCACTGAACATCAACATCCTGCTTAAGTGACTTCTTCCAAAACACACAAAAGCTCAGGGATTGGGTGACAAGGGGCAAGGAGAAGGAGTGGGTGAGGACAGGGGACAGGAGCAGATCAGGAAGCTCAGGAGACCAGGGGTCTCCCCTCAGGGCTTCCCTTGCCCCCGAGCAGAGCGCCCCTGGAGGGGTCCCAGACATCTTACTCCTCTGGCACCCAACCCACAGCACGGCCCCGGGGAGGCCTCCTTAAGCGTCTGTGGTGTGGATGTGAGCTGGGCGCGGGGCTCCAGGAGCAGAGTCTTGTCCTCTTTGGCCACCTGCCTGGCATTGCAAAAAGATGGATCATGGTGTCCGCGGAACTCCTGGCTCTGCAAAGGCACAGCAACGAGGTGAGGTGAGGGAGGGAAGAAGGGTGCTCCAAGGCTGACCACCCAGTGGGATGCTGGGCGCGGGCCCCCTTCCCCACCCCCCAGGGCAGCCCCACTCTGCGAGGCCTCCCCCGGCCCTGACGCCTGCCTCTGCCTATTTGAACAGGTTGTTCCCTCTGCTGTTCCACTCTTCCCTCCCTCTCCCCCTCTGTCACTTGGCTCTCTCCTTTCCATCCTCTAAGCCATTGGTGCCTACAGGAAAGGCTCCAAAATCCCCATGAAACAGGCAGCCCACAAACTCAGCATTTGCCCCCAGGTGGACCTGCCAGGCTAGTATTATCCCTGGTTAGCTACGCAGTGATGGCACAGGGATTCCTTCCCTCTCCTGAGACTGACTACAAAACTCCAGCACACTCTAAGCTAGATCAAAGAAGGGCTGTTTGGCTTGTTGTTTGTCTTGCAGGGGGAGGGGGCAGAGGACAGGGGCAATAGGCAGGAACTCTGAGAGCACTGCCAAGCACAGGATTCGCTGTAACGGCCAGCCCTGGCAGGGGGAAGACTGTCACCCTGAGACCAGCTCAGACTATCCTTTTTTAGAGGACTGTGTCCAGTCTCCAGTTCCATCATGGAGAGAAAACTAGGATGGAACCAATGGCAGAGGAAGGGCATGGGTGGGAGGGACTGAGGTGGGGCAAGAGGGCGTGGTGCTCAGCCCTGCCCACCATCTCCGGTGGACTGTCAAGATGCAGGGATCTGGGGACAGCACCAAGAGCTGCTCAGCTTGATGTCTGAACTGGGAGATCTCCTCGCTGTGGGCTGTGAGGATTGGCTGTCACTCCTCAGGGCAGGAGTGAGTCTCTGCTGCCTCTACAGCTCCCCCTGGAGGCGCTGCTGAGCAAATGTTGGTCCAATGAACGAATGCATGGGTGAATAAAGTGTGCCACTAGGGACACCTAGGCGTGAGCAAATGGGGTGGGGAGCCCAAGATCCGCCAAACCCAGGGCAGATGTGACTCCGCAGCAGAATGCTTGCTTAGCATGCACAAGGTCCTGGGTTCAAGCCCCAGCACGGTAGAAAAAAATAACAACAATAATTAGCCTCAGGATGGATGCCCAGTTCCAAGTGGGTTCCTTCTCCTGTCACCCTGACCCAGACTTCCTAAGGGCTCCTCCCTTTTCCTGCTTTCCCCTGCCACACCTGGTAGATGAAGGTCAGGTCAGGAGATGGACAAAGAGGATGGCCAGGCCGATGTTGAGCAGGATCACCATGCAGATGAGGACAGTATTGGGGACCTGGAACAGTGGACAGAGGCTGCCTGAGTCCCAACAGCCTCTCCACAACCCCAGTCAGATTACAAGCCTGGCCAGAGGCGCAGGAACTTCTAGAAAGATCCTCCTAAGAGCACCCCCTGTGTGGTCACTGTGGACCCTGGATGGCAGACTTTGGGAGCTGAAAAGATTCTTAGAAATAATTAACAAAAGCCCTCAGGGTCCAGAAAGGGACATGAATATATCCCAAACCACAGAGCAGGAGAGACTCAGGCCTGGAACCCAGGTGGCAGGCCTGATGGACTGCTGATCCCTCCTGTGTGGCCTTCCTCAGCCCCTGAGAGCCCAGCTACACTCTGTTTCTGCAGTAGTGGAGTCCAGCCTCCCATGGATGGAAAGGTCTAGAGTCCAAGACCTGCTGGGGTCTTCCTCCACCCCCAGGAAGCCATCCATGCTACACCCTGAGCAGATGAGCAAGCTGGGTCCCCGCACAAGTCTTCCCCACCAGCAGGTGGCCCATCCTCCCTTGGCTCCGGCTCTGCTGACCCTGTTCCTGAGACCTGCCTCTATGGATAGGACACCAGGGGCAAATTCCTACCCGGAGGTGAGGTAGGGATCTCTGCCTTGTCATTTGGGCTCTGAAGTCCTCTAGGCACCGGGACAAAGCTACACTCCAGTATTCCGCCTTCCCCGCCCCCAAATGCCCTGCACCCCAATCCTGCCTCCTGTCCTGTGGACCTCAGGTGTCTCTTCTGCCCATAGACTCACCTCTTCTACCTCCACCTCCGCCTCTGCCAGCAGCGCCGCCTCCTTCCGAGCCTTCTTCTTGGCCCCACCCTTGGTCAGCCCTCTGGCCTCGGTCTTGCGGGCCTTGGCCTTGGACTCGGCTTTGGGGACAATGGGCTTGGGCTCCATCTTGGAGGGGGCCTCGGGCGCAGGCTCGCAGACTTGGACCGCAGGGGCCTGCACGGGGGCGGTGGCCGGGGACGGTGGCGCGGAGTCGGACCCGGAGGCTTCGGGCTCGGGCTCATCCTCGAAGGGCGGAGGCGCGGGCGGCCCTGTGCGCACGGCGTAGCTGTGGTAGCCGCGGTACAGCGCCACCTCGGGATCCCGCGACGGCGCGGGCGGAGCCTGCAGCGCCTCGATGGCCATGTGTTCGGTGGCGGGGCGCGCGGGGCTGCGGCGGCCCGCGCCCTCGGACGGCGTGACGGGCCGGCTGCCCTCGCCACCAGACTCGCCGTTCCAGGCGCCCGGGCCCAGCAGGCCGTCCTTGGACGTCCCCGGCCGGGGACGCTTGGGCTGCGGGGGAGTCCCGGCCGGCGACGGCGGGCCCCCTTCGGGCCGCGGGGTCTCGCGCTCGTGCAGCTGCGGGCTCTCGCGGGGAGGCTGCCGGACGCCTGCGGCGCCCGCGCCCCGCTCGGGGGGCTCCAGCAGGCTCTCCGAGTTCTCCAGGATCTCCTGCAGCAGCCGGCGCTTCTGATATTCCGGACCTGTGGGGCAACACGAGGAGGCTGCGTGGGAACCCCACCGCTGGATGATCCTGGGCCAGGCACGTCACCTCCTGAGCCTCGCTCATTTACTCAGCCAGCACTCTGGGCATGAGCTGATACCAGGCCCTGCCTGGCCTGAGCAGTTTCCTAATATGAACTCGTTCGTTTTGATAACCCTATGAGATTGGTGCTATTGAAAACCTCCGATTTCCAGATGAAGAAAGAAAAGACCCAGAAAGGTTAAATCACTAGCCCAATGTCACACAGCAAAGGGCAGATGTGATGCTTTTAACTAGGACACTGGTCTCTTTACATCCCCTTGCCTGAAAAATGGGCCTAGTAATACCTATTTCATAAATAGCAATGGAAGGATAAATTTAGAAAATGTGTGCAAAATGACAAGCTCAGACCCTGGCACAGTAACAGCCATGGCTACCACCACCCAAGGCAAGCTAGTGTCACTCTTCCTGGGCCAGCAGGGGGAGCACTGTGACCAGAAGGGACGTCTCTGGGGCACAGACTGCACTCCTGGGTCTTCTATCTAGTGTCACTTGGGCTCCCTTACTGCAGTGCAGTCTGTCAGAGCCATTGGTCCTCCTTACTCTGCAGCCTCACTCCCCACCTCCCGTTGTGTGCCTCCCCATCTAACTGTTCCAAGCTCCTGTGCTTTGGGGCCTGCAGTTCTTTCCATTCAACTGTCCCACCCAGTACCCCCTGGTGCAGTAGTTCTCAAAAGTGTGGCCCCAGACCAGCAACATTGGCCCTGCCTGGTCCTCTAGGCATGGGCTCCACCCCAGACCTACAATCAGGACCTGGGGGAGGGGTGGGCCCAGCAGTCTGTGTCAAGATCAGTCTTGAAGGACCTGATCTGTCACACAGCACTCATCATACTGCATGAAATTGAGGTTTACCAGTTGCCTTGCATGAAGTAGCACAGCTGGTGAGCAGCAGAGTCAGGATTTGAACACCTGCAGCCTGTGTGCCTCACCCCATGCTGTCTTTGACCCCAGCACAGACCTGACATTCAGGAAGTGCTCAATTAGTGCTTGACAAAGTACTGAGCAGGAGCAGGAAGGACCGTTTGCCCCCGCATCCACCAGAGACTTACCACTTCTCTAAGCTTCACCAGCCCCAACCAACAGGGACAGGCATGCAGGCAGAGATATGTCTCCTCCGTGTCCTTTTTCATTGTCCCATACCTTGTCTGCATCATGCCTCACAGTTTCCAAAACTTAGAAGCATTCATGAGCCTACTGAAGTATCTCAGCTTCCCAGTAAGCAAAAAAAAGTACCCATCGCCCAGTGGCCCTACCTGGCTGATAGAAGTCTGGAGCCAGCTCCCTGGCCAGAGTGCGGGCAATGTTCGATTCCTGGTTGGCGGCCAGAGCAGCCTGTTCCGCTGCCTCAGCTTTGGCCCTGGCGTGGCTTGTCCTAAGGAGACAATAGGGCAGAACACTTAGGGTCCCACCAGAAAAACAGTCCTTGTTTCTTCTCCCCATCCCATGCAGAGACACCTGGACCCAGCATTCGCTCGCTCAGGCTGTCCATGGATATTTATCAAAGCCTGTGCCCAGAACATTTCCTCTACTTTCTGGGCACACGAGAGACCTCATGTCCCAGCCTCCCCTGCAGTTAGGTATGATGGGGTGACTCTTCTGGCCCCTGCGTTATGGGAAGCTCTGGTGTGTGTGCTGTCCAGGCCTGGCCATAAAAACCTTTTCCCTGTTGCTGGCTGCATGCAGAAGAGGCCAACGTCCCACAACAGGGCGTTTAACACCTTTTGCGTCACAGAGTCCTTTGGCAGTCTGGTGAAGCCTGTAGATCCATCTCAGAACAATGCTTTTAAAATGCACAAAATTCATGGGATTACAAAGGAAATCTGTAGTTATATCAACACACTGTCACCAAAATATTTAAAATAACAAATTTGCAATATAATAATGTATGTCCTTCTTTATTAACACATTAAACAAAATGTCTATCAGGCCTACTAACTACCATAATTTTAAAGTATAAATTAGCATAAAGGATATTTCAAAGATATCTGCAACAGTAATGTGATATGAAAATATGTATGATTTCCATTGACAACAAAATCACAGATACTGAGAACGGTACCATGGCTTATTGCCTACTTCTACAAATGAAGAAAATGCTGAATTTTAGTTAGAGGTTGGTAAAAAAAAAAAATAACACTTTTCCCCACCTCTAGTAGATACTTTTGGTGCCCAGCCCAGATCCCTTTACTGGGCAAATTGCACCTGCCCCCTAGCTGTCGTGACTGTGGGCTGCTAATGGCTCATTGCTACCCCAAGGATTGCAACCAACAGAAACCACTGTGTTCCACAGTTTAAAATGCCACTCCCTCTACCCTTGCCCAAGCAGCCCGCACCAGTGACTGGCTGACACCAATCAGCCCCCTCTCACCCCAAGAGCAACCCACTGCAACCCTGGGCCACAAATCCTTGCTCCAGAGGCCTCAGCTTCAGGCAGGGCTCCAAAAGAGACCACAGGCTTGCTCAGCTCCTTCCCCATCCCTCCTGATGCTCCCACCCCTCTTTCCTGGAAGCATGTCCTCAAAAAAAAAAAAATCTCTGGATTAGGAGTCCCCATCTCATGCCATGTTTCTAGGGACTGGAACCTAAAACATCATTCAAGTTCATGGACTCTCCACATTCTACCCAGAGAATCCCTGGTGGACTCCAAATGAAGAAATGGAGTGGAAGGAGCCCAAGTGCATAATTGACAGCCCCTCCCACAGTCCTACACTGGAACGTGACAAGAGCAAACTTTAAACATTTATGAAGCACCTGAGATTTGAGAGATGTCTGTTTCAGCTGCCAGTCTAGCTATAGTAACGGCGGCCCCGTTTACCACAGGCCAGGCTCAGTGCTCCACTCCGGCACTAAGGGAACCAGTAAGATCATCTGCCATGATATCATGACATCTGAGGAAGCTGGTGCTGTTGTTCACCCTCTTTACAAACGGAAACTGAGATACAGACAGGTTAAGTAACTTGCCCAGGGTCACAGAGTCAGGAGGGCAGGAGTTGGGATGTTGAACCCTAACCTGGGTGCTCATGCTGCTCTTGAGCATGTGACAACTGTGGCCAAAAGCTGAGGCTTGAGACTCCTGCGGACAAGAAGATCCAGACCCCCTCACCACCATTAAGTCAAATATAATCAAATAAAAAGTATTTATTTACAACCATGAGATGTGCCAATTAGGAAGAGCATAGAAGACACTGGAGACACTGAACAGTGAGCCTTCCTAGAGACTGGCAGAGGGTGGGTTGGCCCAGGAGGTTTCCCTGAGGATGGGACATTCAAGCTGAGACCTGGAGACACACATCCATTAGGCCTAGCAGAGGTGGGGAAGGCTGTGAGCTGGACAGAAGCGAGCAAGCTCTAAGGCCCTGGTTAATTTTTCGGCATCTGAGTGCCCCTCACACCGCACCCTAACCCCAGACAAGGCAGAACCAAAATCAGAATCCAGGGCTGCTGATCCCAGATGTGCCCTCACCTGTTCCCAAGTCACCCCGCCCCTGCGTGTGCGTGTGCGTGTGCGTGTGCCTGCGTGCGCGCTCCTGCGCTTGCACTTTGGGTTCAGTGAACCCTAGCCTGGCAGGGTAGCATGGGGGAGAGGACAGCAGCTTGGACGTCTTCTGGCCTGGGTGTGAGATTCTACCCCCCTGCTCATTGCTGAGTGGAGCGGAGCCTAGGGGCCCTGCTGGACTTCCCTGGAGAACTCAAGGTGGAGTGAGAGCCAGCAGAGGGGTTAACTCCTGGGAGGTGGAGTGTCTCCAGCACACACTGGGCCCACAGTAAAGGAGATGGATTCCCTGAAGCTCCTACTATGTGCCAGGCCCTTTACCTTTGTCATCCCTTTCAGTCCTCACAACTGTCCATAGGAGGTTTTTGTCCATCTCTCCCCACCTCACGGGCAGGGAGACTGAAGCTCAGAGAGCCATCTCGCTCAAGGATGCAAAACAGTATCTCACACTGCGTGCCCAGGGCTCTACAGTAACCACCGTACTTCACCCCCAGCCCCGCAGCTCTAAGTGGTAGACGGATGCCTTCCTCCCTCCTCCCAGAGGACAAACCAGAGGGACAGTAGATGCTGGTAGATCACCAGTGCTCCCACAGCCAGGAAGCAGCAGCGTGAGAATTCAAGCTGAGGCACCCAGGAATCAGGGCCCTTGGACACAGGCTCCGCTCCACTCAGCAATGAGCAGTGGGCTAGAATCTCACACCCAGGCCAGCAGACGTCCAAGCTGCTGTCCTCTCCCCGATGCCACCCTGCCAGGCTAGGGTTCACTGAACCCAGAGCGCAGCCGCAGGAGCGCGCACGCAGGCACACGCACACGCACACGCACACGCACACGCACACCCGGGGGCGGGGTGGGGGGGCTTGGGAACAGGTGAGGGCACATCCGGGATCAGCAGCCCTGGATTTTGATTTTGGCTCTGCCTCGTCTGGGGTTAGGGTGCAGATGCCGAAAACTTCAGTAATCGAGTTAAATCATATTTTCATATAATATTTAAAGTTAAAATTGAAATCCTGGGTAAGTAAATTATTTAGAAAATGTTTCACAGAGACTGATGGGACGCTGAGCTGGCGTTCCTCCCTTCCCCACCGCTCCCCAGCCCTGACCCCACTGGACCTTGGGTGCGCGGCTTTCCTCTCCGTGCCTCAGTTTCCCCGTCTGTAAAGTGGAGGTGACAGCTCTCCCCTGGTGGAGCTGCTGTGAATGTGAAGGGGGTGGTGATGGCTTTGCTGGTGAGACAATAAGTGGTGGCGGTGGTACAGGAGGACAGGGTGACATTTGCAATATCGAAATTCAAGGTGGTACGTGCGGAGCGGCAGGCTCACGTTGGCCTGCGCGTGGGTTTGTGTGAGACAAAGTCCTAAACTCTTCAGAGCCACTTCCAGGGGAACCTGAAACCCCAGGTCAGTGGGGGAGGGAAAGCACAAGGCAGGCGAAACTTCCAGCTGAGAAGATGCCCTTTTTTGGTCATGTGAGCTGAATGACGCTCATTTCCTGATCCCTAGTGAAGCTGAGTTGCAGGACTCCAGGCTGGAACCAGGGCAGCCGGCACAGAAGTGGAGATGGGGGTGGCCACGTAGCCCGAGACATGAGGGTTGCCGCATTGGAAGCAGGCACGCGGGGGACCTCTGCCCACCTCCATCAGCCTGGCACTGGCCACAGAACCCCTTACTAGCCCTCTCCCCAACCCCCATCCTCTCTAACCTCAGGGTGGCTTCTCGGCTCCCAGCCTGCAAGCCAGGAATCCCCGTATTCTCCCACACCCTCCTCCCCATCTCCTTCAACCCCAAAGCCAATCAGTCACCCACTCCTGCCTGTCCTGGCAAAGCCCCCCCAGCCCCAGCCCACGCAGTACACAGGGGTTGTGCCTGCCCGGGTACATTCCCAGGCCTCACCTCTTGCTTCAGGTCTTTGCAAGCCCTCTTGCCGTGCTCAAAGCAAAGCCCAAACACTCCACACGGCCTGCAGGGCTTCCCACGTCCTCTGCGTGAGGCAATCCTGATGGGGCATGAGGGCAGCACCCAGATGAAGGGCAGGCAGAGCTGCTGTCTCCCAGAGGCCACTGCTTCCAGTCAGGTGCCACTCACAGGGTGGCCCTGCAAACCCTCCAGCATCCTCACCAGCTTGTCAGTAATGCAGGTTCTCAGGATCCACCCCAGACCTTCTGAATCTCAATCGGAGCGGGAGGAGCCCAGGAACCTGTGTTCCACAAGCCCTCCAGACACCCGCAGCTCACCAAAGACAGAGAAGCGTGACAGAGAGGTAATCAGCCTGCCCAAGCCCTGGGAGCCTCAAATGCTTTCTTTAAGCACCATGAGCCCTCCCTGGTCTAGGCCCTGCGGGGATGACACAGGGACCACCTCTTCTCTGACTACTCGCCACATGGAGGTTGATGCCTCTGGGCGAGGGTCTTCTAGGATGGCTCTGAGCCTGCTGGGGAAGTGAGGGGAACAGTAACTAGGTCAGGGAGTGGGGCAGGGAGAAGCCGCTCTTCTTGATGGCATTCAGATGGATTATCTTTCGTCAGCAGGGTTAAAAATAAGGCTGGTGGTTCTGGGATGGGGCAGGGCTATCACTCAACAGAACCACTTTGGGGCGCATGCACCACTACCTCCCCCATCCCATAGCTTCCTTTCCCATCCCCAGGCCCCTCGCTGCTTGGTTATAGCTGGTCTTGTTTCCCAGTTGTCTTCACCATGCATTGGCGGCTTCATGGGGCCAGAAGGGGACACTCACTAGTCTCATCTTGACTCCAGGCCTTTGCTCAGGCTGTTCCCCCAACCTGGAATGTCCTTCTCCTCCCTCCATACTTACAACTTTAAAGGTCCAGCTAAAGACCCCTGACCACTCATTGGTCCATTTATTCATACGATTTATGGAATGT